TCCAAACAAAAAGTGCATTTAGGTATGTTTATTCTCCAAGCAAATGGCAAACAAAGAATCTGCAGTCTCTCCTATTCTGGTAAAAAAATATCAAAACCCAAAACACCTTCACTCTGCGCCCTCCCGCCAAAACAATATTTAACCCAGTGACCAAATAATAATAATACATGCAGAATTATCTAAAAAAAAATGAACCTAGCAAAAAATAAGTAGAAAATTAGATTCTCAGAACAAACATCTGAAAATGGACAAATAGTTCCAACAATACTCTTCATGTAAACGTGCATCTTGATGTCGATTGCCTTCCTATTGAAACGTTAATTTTGGTGGTTCTATTCTGGTACCTATTCTGGTAAAAAAATATCAAAACCCAAAACACCTTCACTCTGCGCCCTCCCGCCAAAACAATATTTAACGTTAATTTTGGTGGTTCTATTCTGGTACCTATTCTGGTAAAAAAATATCAAAACCCAAAACACCTTCACTCTGCGCCCTCCCGCCAAAACAATATTTAACCCAGTGACCAAATAATAATAATACATGCAGAATTATCTAAAAAAAAATGAACCTAGCAAAAAATAAGTAGAAAATTAGATTCTCAGAACAAAAATCTGAAAATGGACAAATAGTTCCAACAATACTCTTCATGTAAACGTGCATCTTGATGTCGATTGCGTTCCTATTGAAACGTTAATTTTGGTGGTTTTGTGTAATTGTTCCTAACTGAATGATTTTGATGATGTGTGTTTTTAATGTTTTATGGTTTTTAATTAATTGTGTGATTTTATTTTTTATGTTTTCAATATGACTTGGGATGTTATTTTATTCAAACATTGTGGGATTTCAATTGTATTTTTTTATATTTATGTAGATTTTGATGTTTGTGATTTGTGCTTGATGTGATATGGGTTGTGAGTGAGTTGCTTTCTTTTGCCTTTGATAGGAAAAGAGGTTCTACAGTGGCAAAAGTTGTTGTGTGCACACTGGGGTAGTCTTGCACAGTTTTTCCAATGTGTTTTACTGCAAATGGCAAAAAAAATTCTTGAATCTTAAATCTTGAATACAAGTTGATTGATAGATTGATCCTAAATCCTAATTCCCTCAGTGTAGAATCTAATCTTGTGAAGAGCAGTGCAATCATAAATATTTTCATATTCATTCAGATATTCATTGGATCCACCTCATGTTTTTCTTCTTCTGCTTTGTCCAAACATCGTCACGGACAACCCCCTGGGCTGCCACCTCCGGATGCACAGGAACAGATAAGGACAAGGTGAGCGTTGTGGGCGGTGAAGTCATGAATTCCCCTGGTTTATATCTGGAGTGTGAAGAGGAAGTCCAGCTATAGTTCCCGACAATGAAACAAAGTGGAGATGACACACAAAACAGAAACGTCACTTTGGCTTCTTTTTTCTACCGCTGCTGCTTCTTTGTCTTCTGAAACCTGTTCGTGGAATTCGATCCATCTTCACAATGTGCGCCAAAATTGTTGTGAAAATTATCTGGATGGTTGAGGAGGAAATAGAGGGCCATGTGGAAACCCAGACATAATATACAAACTTCACAGAGAAAGGCCACCTCCGACATCTGCTGTTAGACCTGAGCCGTCAATTAGACACTCAATTATTCTTCTCTGTCAGAAGACTCACTGCGATGGAAATCCCCTGATCTGCAGGAGAAAATGTTTTGGTGATTTCACACTCGTTAAATAAAACCGCACTGGTATTCAAAAGACATTTTGCAAGACATTCTTAATTGTACTTTTCTCTGAGATATTTCACTACAGAACTGGAGGAAGACGGATAAATGTGTGTTCAGTGCTTTGCTAGCGATCTGTGGATATACCAAATATAACATATGTATTGTAAGGCATTGTTTTTTTCACATTTTCCTGCCCCGCGGCCATTTTGAAAAAGCCCACATAAGGCAAAAGTGGTGGCTCATTAGTTTCAACGCCGGAGATAGGCATGACTACGTCCGTTAATAATTACAGTCTATGGTCTCCAGGCTATCCTGAATATATAATGTAAATATCTGTGTACACTTTTTAATGCTCCCAACATTGTAAACTGTTAAAATTCAAGAATAAGGAATAGTTGTTGAAATAAATTACTGTAAATTATCATATTTTGATTTGGAAGAAGCCAGAATGTAATCATTTTTCAGGCCCATTAGTTTATTTAACCTACTTTTCATGTTTAAAAAAAAAAAGTTATTTTGTTCTTCAGCTGGGCTTCATAAATAGTACATTTTTCTTGTCCCCACAGAGATATTTTTCTAATGCGTCATTGTAAGAAAGAGCCCTGGGTGTCACTATTTAATGCTTTGAGCAGGGAGCTGATTGGCTGAGTGAGGCTGGTCCTCCCTTTTTCACTTTTCTGTCTGAATAAGGTGATCTAAAGTGACGCCAGAAATTTTTGCAAGAACCAAACTATTGTGTGAGATAAAAACAATAACGTGGTACAATATTGTTCCATTGTATTGTGTTTGAAAGTTAGGTCCCCCAGCTTTATTTTGGTTCTAACTATTAATTAAGCCATTTTAGTGTCACATTCTTTATACTGACAGAGCCGCACAATGGAGTCCATAGTATTCCCGTTATTTTGAAGCCATCGGATCCCATGTTTATTTCGAACAAAGACTGGCTTGACTCTTAATGACCTTGATTTCACAGCATCATCCGTGAATGGAAACACACCATTCACTGGCGAGCAAAAAATAAACGAATCAATACGGCTTGTTACGCAGCCGGAGGGGAGTTTGTTTCACACTAAATCAATAATACAACTCTCCGGGATGTCGTCATGTTGTATGCATGTTCTGTGGAAATCCCCAAATCCCCATTTAGACCCCCGGCCCAGACACACACACATACACACACACACACACACACACACAAACACAGAGAAAAAGAAGAAGCAGAGATGAGGTTGTATTTAGTCATGTCTGTATTTTGTCTCATTTTCACAAAACATTTACAGGGGAAGGAAAAGCCTTTCAAGAGAACCTGAGGTATTTTGCGTCAAGCAGCCAAAGGTATCAGGATTTACTTTAAAAACGTCTAAACTCATCAGTGTTCTTAGATGCGTTGCTATATTTACAATAATAATAATAGTAATAATAATAATAAAGATAACCACAGTTTTAGCGAGTGGGACAGTCTGCGTCTGCATTAACATATATAAAAATAGGACAGGTTGCTTGAGCCTCATGCCATTTATTGGGACAAAACGTCAACACTGGAATCAGATTTCTTATCATAGCTGCAACAGCAGGAGGTCAAAAGTCAGACAGAAGAGCTAATCAGGGCTAAAAGCAAGAAAATACACATGACACATTATAAATAAATAGTCTCGCACCAGGAGAGTCTTCCATTTTGGGCTTAAATTCAAGAGCGTGTTGTCGAAAACTTTGGGAAATCATACTGTTATATGAGTACAAATCCAAAAAGGAGAGTGATTGAGCTTCATGGTCATGCATTGTGCTGGACTAGGCTTGGCTCACTGAAGGATCCCCTGAGAAAGAAAAAGGGTTTGTGTGTGTGGGGCCCGGTACATGTGCGTGTGTGTGTTTCATGTAGCAGTGCATACAGTTGTAAGAGTGTGTGAGCCTGCACGGCAAAAGCTTTGGTGGGAAGCTTTGAAGCAATGGCGAAACAGGCGCTGGCTCCGCAAAAAGACAGTCTGAACCACTGATTGCATATACCTGTCGTTATGCAAGCTTACATGGCAACTTGTGAGTTATAAGCTGGATATTTGGAAATGGTGTGAGAGCGCAGACGGCTTCTTTTTTTTTGCATACGAACAGAACAGTCTCTTAATTTTACTGGTGAGCCCTGCCAGGACGCTCATTCAAAACTAGACTCATACACAATTCTTTTAGATGGTATATTGGAACCATTCTCTACCACTGAAACATTGACTATTCTAGCTTCCACACTTGGCTTTTTGTCAATCGTAATTGGACTTTGTCAGAGAAACCAGAAAAGTGCATTTCAAAACCAAAATTCACTCTCCCAAAAGAAGGAACAGCACATATTGCTCATTGGATGTGTGTATCATTGTGTTTATAAATACCATACAGCAAATAATAATAATAATAATAATTCAACAAAAGAAAATCCACAAAACATTATATTATTTCTCATTACCAGAATGAACCAATACAATAAATTAAACTATAAAGGAACAAAAAGACTATTAGGAGTCCATTAAAATTGCCATATATATTCATATTGTATATATATAGTATTTGTCAGTCTTTAGTCAGCCTTTTTGGTGCATGCTCAGTGGTGACCATAGGTGGAATGAGAGGGGGTAATGGGACGGTTCCCAAATCTTCTCCATCACATGGCTAACACTGAAATGTGGAGTTCAAGTCTGTGCTTTAGGGAGCTGTGAATCCTTCATAGAGTTGATGCTGTACCGTTAGAGGATGTCCATGCTGGATAGACTTGTGCTGTGGTGGTACATGGAGCCTGTGCATTGAAAGTCTGTTGATGCTAGAGTCCACAGCAGGGGAGAGGTTGGATGTAGCCGTGCGAGAATGCATTACGGGTGAAGCTTTTAAAAGAAGGAACGAGGCTTGGTTCAGATCACAAGCTAAACACCCACATTACAGTAGACCACAGGCAAGCAGGTACAGTCTGTCATTACAAGGAATCTCCATATAGTGTATTAGGGATGCAATACAACACTTGTCCCGCTGGGTCACTTCTCCCCCCCCCCCCCAAAAAAAAAAAAAAAAAAAACTTTTACCCCAATTTTTCTACGTCCCCCAGGTCTGCAATGCACCATCCATCAGGCTCGGTCTGTCACTGTGCTGCTCAGCACTAGTCTAGGTGCAAATGCAAGTTCACTTTTCTATTTTGTCACAAAAGTCATTAACACTGTCACTAAAGGGAACACAAAAATGTCTCTTTCCCTTCTTTTTGCCTTTGTGCATTCCTTCTAGGTCCATTGTTGTCCCAAAGGGACAATTGAGTTCATGTCCATTATCTGTCAGGAGACTTCAATGATTTCCATGCTGCCGGAAAAACTTGACTGCTTCCCGATTTTGCCAAGTTCTTCTCTGGACCGTGTTTCAGAAATGCCATCCTCAAACTCCATCTGACAGCTGCGTCTCTTGAACTGTTTGTCTGACGAGCCTGTGGTGGACGTTGTTGATGAGGTTTCCCGATGGTCTCTTTGTGTTTGCCCCGTCGGAGGCTTCTCCCTTTGGGCTTTTTCATGTAACCGAGCTCCTTCACTGCACCCAAAAGCCATATAGGCCGAACTGCTCCCTAACCTTAGTGTTGAATCATCTGCTGTACCATTTACTCCAAGCTCCATATCCCCCCCTTCATATGCACCAAAGTGCCACGGGGCATCTGTGGTTGGGGTGACTGGAGTGACGGGAGTCGTGGCCTGGACAGAGTCTCTGTGTTTGGTCCACATGGCCCCTGATCCCACACTGGGCACAGAGGGCAGGGACAATAAAAGGGATCCCTTCAGGTTGTCCCCACATGGGGTATTGTTATCCAGGGACAAGCTGAGGGTCTGGGGGGGCTGCTGTGGCTGCGAGTGGACAGGGGAACTGTTAGAATTGTGCTTGGCTTTCCTTCGAGGTCTGGACGACCGATGAACTCCGTCAGGTCCCCCATAACCTAGGCCTCCAATGCTTCCCCCACTCCCGGGAGAAGGGAAAGGTGAGTCAGAGGAACTGGGACTGTCTTGGATGGGAGACTGGGAGCAGACACCGTTGGTAGTGCCTGAACTGGGACTGTCCAGTTTGCACAGCTTTGGGACGTCTTCACAATGTGTGGGTGCCAATGTGGGACAGTGCGGACTGGTGGGGGAGTATACAGATTTAATGTCCAGTGAAAAGGAGCGTTTGAGCCGGTTGGTGTCTAGGATCCTCTCTGCGGAGAGGTGCAGGCCATTGAAGCCCTGCTGGAGCGTCGTGGGTGACGGTAGTTTAGGTTCTGAAGGAATCTGCGGCTCTGCCACAGATGACTCATAGCTGCTGTGTCCATTCATTTCCAAACATGTGCTGACCCCATTAACATCAGAGTCCAGCGTACTGCTGCTCTCAGCATTCTGCTCATCCGAGTTTGAAGTAAGTGCTTGAAGTAGTCGAAGTTCCTTTTCGAACTCCAGCAGCTGACCAAGGAAGTTGAAGTTTGGAGATATAGTCGGCCTTCTGTCCTTCACAAACCTGGAAGATAACATAAATGTATACATTAGAAGATGTCCAATCGATAATATCAACTCTGATGACGCAGGTCTAATAACGAGCACTGAGCAGGTGTTGTTGGTCTATTTGTTTATCAGGAGGAAAGCTGGCTCGAAATCAGTGTTATCTAGACATGTTTTGTTTGAAGGCCTGTTGCCTAGGATTTTACAAATGTTTCGTTCCTCATGAATGGAGGGAGGATCGGAAGCTCGTCTTGCATTTCCTTTAAGAGTGGTTTGTCTTTCTACAGGCGCTGACACCTTAGCCCAGCTGGTGTTGGGTGGGAGGAGTGTGTTTACCTGTAGGCATCATCTGATGTCAAGCCCATTGTCTTCATGATGTATGCAATGGCAATGGTTGCAGAACGCGAGATTCCTGCCAGGCAGTGCACAATGACTCTGCAGTTCGACACCTTGGCTTTGTCTGTAAGGAAAAGGAAAGGTAAGTCTACACACATCCTGACAGGAGTCTCCAGAGAATATCACAGTTTACTCAAAGCACACGACATTTACAGAGACACTCAATGGATGTGGTGTATCTTTTGTTCTGTGTGGGTGTGAGGACATGTTGGTGACATATTAAAGGACACCAAATCTGGTGGTGTGAACCTACCAATAAATTCATTGGTTTTCTCCAGCCAGGGAAGTAGTTTCTCACAGTAGTTGTCGTTCACTGGGATACGCATAAAATGGCTCTCGCTGATGAAGTCTGGCTTGGGGCAGGTGTTACTGGCATTCAGCACATATGTGATACCATTTTGAGCCATGAGATCCTGCAAAGAGAGGATAAAAGAGATAGTGTCATGTTTTTTCTCCCAGGACAAAAAAATGAGACACTAATCCGACATTGATGCGCAAATGTAAGAATGTGTAGTCACCTTGTTGAGGACATCCTTCTGTGATCCCAGGTAGAGGTGTGGCAGGATGCGAGTCGGCCCAACATTAGCCACCGGCAAACACGGCTGGGACAAGCTCATGGGCAGAGCGGTCGCAGGCTTCCCTTCGCACAGGCCCGGGAAACAAGAGGAGAATGCGGCAAATCCTCCTACAACAACAAAAGACAAAGAGAGAGTCTGTCAGTTTCATCACAGTACATCACAGTGAGAAAAATCCAATTACGTTAAAAGCTATAAAACAACATTAGCAGAGCAGACAGGCACTGCATTGACTGTGAAAGGTGAATCTGGGCTACAACGTCTGGGCCCCACTACTGAGACATGGGAGCAAAAAGGTTTCTGTGTGCCTGTCGGGTGAACTGCCGGGCAGCCAGGAATGTGCAGGCCTGGCCCTTTAAGAGGCAGGCGGCTCCACTTTCTGCATATATGTGTGTGTGCTCGCGCATGGTTCTGTTTCCTGCATGAGCTCATGTCCTGTAGCGGAGCATTGCGTCAGGCCAAGAGAATGAGAGAGGCCACAGGTGCTGGACCAGGACAGAGGCGCAGCAAAGATCACTCACCATTCACAATATGCACTAACAAACAGACAGGCTGATACTTTACTTTAAATCATCACTTTTACTCTTTACAATCCATGTACTCATGATTATAGTGAATTACAGTGGTTATATAACAACAGGGTGGGGGTTGAAGTGCACTCTGCCCCATCGGAGCCTGAGTAAAATTCTGTGGAATGCCTCAAGGAAACCCGGTTCAGTAGAGAGATTACAGGACATAATCTTGGTGGAGCCCTGCCTGACCCGATCTGGGACACTCCAATGTAAAGGGAGTGAGTGAGACATGACATCACTGCTCTAAAGTAACGCGGAGCAGAACTTTGCCTTCCGTTGAGACACACACCCAGTTCCACCGTCTGCTCGTGTAGCAACAGTTGGCAACGGTACATGAAATGTAAGCAGTGCATATGTGGCGAAGCAGGTGCCAGGTTGCAGAAGCAGGTCATGCACAAGCGGAGTGCATTCGGAAATGCTTAAGTTAGAGTGCACCCCCAGTTTTTGCCCGTTCTTCCCTTTTAAGCGATGTAACTTTGGCTATTAATGGAAACCCACAAGCAATGACATCAAGTGTGTGGTAGAAGAGAGGAAAGGGGAGATGGCTGGATAAGTAAATCAGATAACAAGAAACAAGAGAGCCTGTTGTGCTCGCAGAAACAACCTAACCTTTTGACTTCTATTGTACGAGTCTAAAAATATTTGTTGTTGGCCACATGTTGTCCTTGTGCCACCAGAGCCTCGTTCAGTGACGCTGGAGGCAGTGCTCGTGTGGTAATTGATAAAACAGAACAGGAGCTCTTTGAAGGCTTCTCCACAGCCTTGTTCTAGGGCTCAGTGAAAACACAGATGCAAAGACAATAAATAGTATCACTTACAAGAATTATAGGCAAAGACACCACAGCCTGTCTATGTAAGGAAGCTGTATGTTCCAGGAAATTGTTAAATTAACAGGAAAAGCCTCACGTCAGACAACAACTATTTCCCTTTGGACGTGAGAACATTGTTAGAGAGTTGTTAGAAAGACAAGACAGGACATTCCAGAGTACAGGCAGTGGGAGAAAGTGTCTTTGTGTGTGGAAGGACTGAAAGCGCTGCTAAAAATACGTCTGTGCTTTGATTTATTGTGAGAAAACAGTGACCACATCTTAAAGGAATGAATGTTCGTGTTTTTTACACAAAGAAAGCATCATTTGGTCTAATGATTAAACAATGATTCCATCGACATCGTTGGAACCAAAGAGATAGGAACTTGTATTTAGTTAAAGAAAATGCTAAGGGACGAATTCAGAGAGTTTGTTTCTTGTATAAAGGGCTTCTCAAGAACCGTGAATGATGGTCCCATTACGTCGACAGAATCACAGCATTCTCGTCTTCAAAGCCTGGAGCAGCATTTATGGTCGTTACACTGTGTCACCATCACCTTTTCATCTGACCACACTGTTGCCATGGTGACAGGGAAGGGCCGGTGATGGTGATGACAGTTGTCACACAGACCAGCGGCAAAGGGTCAAAGGCCGCATGAACACATAACTCAAAGAGACATGTCCTCACTTCCTCCAAAAAGATGACACATGCGCTCATTCCAATCTGACAGCATCAAGTGTGTTTCTATACACAGTACAGTCACTCTGAGGTCACTGAAAATACCCTGTGACACACAGCTGTCCATGACTTCACGAAGTCAACTGGGACATGAGTTCACCTGATTGGAACAAAGCCACTTTTCAAAGAGATCACACCTACTGACTGTGATCACTTTACATTCATTTAAAAAGTGTACAGAACAGTGTTATAACGGAAAAAAGTAAACCCGTCCATCTTTCTACAGTGTCGTCATATTTCTCGTATTTAGGGAAAATACACTTGAACAGGATGTGACTGAGCCATTTTAAACACAGTGAAATGAGGAAAGGGAAAAAGAAGGAAAAGCCAAACACCAAGATGGGAAGGAGGGCACTGTGTCGCCACCGGCAAAGCACAGTCTGTGAGCGATGACTTCTCGTTTCCTTCATCACTTATGCAAGACGCAACTGTTGATTTTCCCTCTCTGTTCTTCTGTTCCTCCTGCTCTGTCATAGAATGAAAGATTAGCCAATGACATATGGTATCTTGCAGCCCTAACCAACCAAACGTCAGAGTAAAATAATCCATTGAAGATCTAGATGAATATATAATTAACCATTATATCCTCTGCTTGGACACCTGCAGCTGTGGTTAATGGGAGCAGTCCGTTACATCACCGGTGTTGGGACCATTGACTGGCTCATCAATACATGCCCCCCCTCCCTCCGTATACCTCTTGTGTTGCTTTCAGTTGGCCTCTTTAACTCGTCTCTTAATGGAGAGGGGCGCACACAGCCGGGGGGCATTGATCTAGCCTCAATGACTTTCCCCGCACCCTTGGCCGCCCCTCTCTGTGGTCCATATCGTGGGAGACATGACGCCATCCTCAGTGCCCCTCCAGCTGTCCCAAACCACCCAGGGGCATTAGCATGTCAATGTGCCCCCCCCCCCCCATTCTCTCGTACTCCTGACATGACATCATTGCACACATGTCCCACTCAGCTCCACAAAGAGGGTGCTGCTCGAGCCAGGAGCAGGCACAAGGGGGGCCCGTCTGTCAGAAATCTCTTTATTCAGGCCTATAAATGAGTGAAGAGGATGAGGTCATCGTTTTTGAAACAGGCGTCAGGTCAGCGCTGGGTGTTTAATACTGTACCATCACCTCATTGTCTCTGGCTGATGATTAAACTGTTTATTGTCTCATATCTCTGAGGACTGATAGCAACCGTGTCTCACTTTGATCAGTGCAGTTTGTTTTTGCAATACCATATGGAGCTATAAGTGCTCTTGTACTGGACTCCCAAATCTATTTTTATTCAGTAATGGCAAGTGAGAGTCTACCTCCGAAGTCAGAATAGCTTATGAGGAAAAACAAAAGTAATGTGGCATAGGAGCTCACTAGCATGCGCACAAGGGCCAGTGTGAACTGAGGCAGGTGAGCAAAGCCTGATATCTAATGTCCATGTGTGTAAGTGCATGTATTTAGGTGAATGCATGTGTGAGCGTGTGTGTATGTGTGCATGTGTGTGTGCATGTGCAAGCTTGTGTGTGTGTGAGCGCATGTGTGCGTGCGTGCGTGTGTGTGTGTGCATGCATGAGCTTGCATGTGAGTGCATGTGTTTTTTCAAAGCTAAATAGTTAGATATGCCCAATGAAAAAAAACTTTATGTTCAGTTTATGTGACAAATGTTTTTTTCCCATCAATTCTCTTTCACACAACACAGACTCAATGTAGGTTAAATCTGTCCTCAGCCTCTCAAGCAACCCTTTAGTGATAACGTGATTTAATATATGGTTAAAATGTGCATTCGCCTCATGACTGTGAGCGAGGTGTGATGTGAAACACCTGCAGTGCCCACTGTACTCATATCAATAACTAGAGGCTTTGTGCAGAGGAGCAGCCCAGCATGAGAGACAGAGCCCAGACCAAGCAGAAGAAAGAGGAAGAGAAGAGGTCTTTGTGACATTTTTACATGTCAATGACCACAGGCTGAGTACTATGTCACATTACGGGTCAGGGCACTTTACATCAGCATTTCCTCCTCAGTGCATCTTGCCTTCATGATGTCATCGCCTAATCCACCCGGCTTGCAGGTCTGCTCTCATGCACATAGCTGGCGAATAACAATTACCATGGTCTGGATGTCTGTTCTATTATTACTACCTTCTGTACCAGGAACGTCAATGCAGAGCACGTTTGAAAAGGCTCTCTTCACATCTCGCTTTCATTTGCAGCATGCCTGGACTAGAATACCTCAACACCTCCTGCCTGCTGTGTCTTTGTGCTCATCTGCAAGCTACAGAAGCACCAGTGCAAACCTATGCAAAGAAATCTATGAAATCTGCTTGAAATCATTCAGCAAAGACACACACTTGCATTTAGTAAGTGCACCTCGTTCTATAACGTCAGCCAACACTGTAGCATTCATTGTAAGCGTTCAAACACATGCCTTGTCTCGTGCGTCCAGGTGAATACACACCTCGTAGCTCCCTCCCCTCCTTCATTCGTCGGACCCTGATCTTAAGCCTCATGTCGGTGTCGTGAAGATCAGGCCAAAAGCAGTCCTCCGCTGGGGCAATCACTACATCCAGAGGCATCCCCCGAACAAGCCTTATAATGCCTCTCACAACACACAGGCACAATGTTCAGAGGCTTCTCTCCGGAGGGACGGAGCGATCAATACCCCTCTGTTGGAAATGTCAACAGACAGAAGGATCTGACTGAGACGTGAGTAAAAAATCCCATATGGAAAAAGAGTTGCAAATCAAAACATCTGATGAAGAATAAAGGCACAATGTCCAGAACTGTTTGTATAAGCTCGCTCCTCAAAAAAAATCAAAAGTCTCACAAAAATCCCTTGTGCTTTCACTGACCACAGCCGGCTGATATGTTTAGAGAAAAGTGGTCATGGAATAAGACGGGGAACAAAAAGACAACACAAGTGCATCCAGCTGTAGTGTTGCCGTGTGCGCGCTGCTGTTTCTCTATCTCTGCGCTCTCTCTGTGTGTGTCTCTGTCCACAGTTAGAAGAGCACTATTGTTGCTGCTCCTCTTTGGCTGGTTCTCATTCGCTCAGTCAGCGGCGCACACTCCTCCCTCTGGCCCCTCCTCCCTGCTTTCTCTCTGTGGCAGTGTGCAAAGACGATGACGATTGCTCCTCTCTCTCCAACTCCAGGGGTGAATGAGCTCACTGCCTTCGCCTCCTCCCTTCCCTATACCCTCTCCCTCTCCTTGGAGCCAGCACTCCGTCATAGCTAATGTCTAAGGCATGTAACCACATTCCTTACTCAGCAAGCAAATATGTGGACACCTTAAAGGCAGACCTCTATCGGGACACATGCTCTTCCTTGCAGGACACTGGAGCTCTGTGATGCTCCGTGCAACAACTACTCGCAGAATGTAACAGAGGAAGAAGAAGGATTTCCAACTGATTGTGAAAAGGGTGATCTAATAAAACACAAAATCAATGTGAGAACCACTGTCTCGAGGATATGCAACGATAAACATAGAACAATTGCTTTTCTCGAGGGTCCCTCAACCTTGAAAGAAGTACGTACAGTATACTACACACGCTTGGAAGCAACTTTTCTTTGACAAATCTATCAATGTTTTCTCTTCAAATATTGACTAATTTCTGAGTAATTCTTTGGTTTGTGCCAAATCTCACTTCATTGTCCAAGCAATTTTGATTTAGACAGATCCTTTAGTGATGCTAGTGTTAGTATTAGATAGCAATATGGCCTACGTGCAGAACTGTACAAGGACTCTGATTATTTTGACTATGATGTGACTGTCTGTGTGACACGTATGTCTTTCGATGTGTGACATGACAATGACTATATAAACTGTGTACTGCCTTTATTCTGTCTGAGGGAAGGAAACAATGGAAACCAGTGGAACTTGAGAGAAACGTAAATAAACTTCCAGAGTTTGGCGCACCACGATCCGTCTCTGTCTGCTTCATCCCTGACACTAGGACAAAAGAGCCTATGGACTCGCCTCCAGATTTTGAGGACATAGGACTTATATTGCAGGATTTTACCAACAAGAAAACAATAAAGCATATATAAGACAATCATATAGCGTTATAGGAGCAGGATTCACATTCACACAGTCATCATCATGCATTTGCACTGCACAACGTAGACTGCTGGTACTTTACTATGGAATGACAAACATGTGGGCCACAAGACCAGCTATGACAACAAGGACTTAGCACAACCTCTGGAACGGAAGCATTGTCTGGCAAAATTAACCGAACAATGGGGCAAAATAATGCACCGATTTATTTACAGCTAATGGGAATCATAGTGGACGTCCGGTCGATCTTAAAACCCTACCTTTTTGGAGTGAATGTGTCAATGATGGCACTTCTAGAGCACTCAGCTAAGGTCAGGCAGGTAAAGAGAGGACAACGGTGATGATCCAGGACACTCTACAATATGGACTTTTTCAACATTGGTCATCTGCCCCTTATGAACGAATGGCTCTATGTGTTTTTTAATCATTGCATTTCTTAAGTTTGAACTGTCTGATTCTGTGATCTGTATTGGCAAATCAAGGGTTTTGTAAAGTCTGAAGAAATTGACGAGGAAATTGACAATGTCTGTAGCTTCAGCCTTCAGAGAAAAAAATAAATAAAGCGGAAATTCACTGGCTTATGCATATTGCTAGAATGATGAGTTTCACTTTAACCACAGTCGCTTGTAGTGTAATAAAAGATCCATAAGTCCTCCAAGATAACTACTGCTGTGATTTAGGGATATTCTAAAATACATTGAATTGATTGAGTTCGGTCATCGCCCATGCAACAGGCTCCCCCCAAAAAAGGCCATATGCGCTTATACAAGATTTGTGGTTCAATTAGGCCATATGCAGGCTGACGGACCTCCCCTCATCAGTACAAAAGCCTGACCACTCAGCGATGAGAACAGCATTACCTCACCCTTCCTGTGTTCAACTGTGGGTCACCGAAAAAGGGGATGAACTGGGTCACTGCATGAGGTACTTTGTAGAACATTCTGATTGTACTTCAAACAGGGGGGGTGTCACGCCGCGATCGCCTGGACATACATCACCAGAATTTGCCTTTTTTCCTTCTCCTTCTCCGATGCGGTGCAGGTGGTTGTAGCAGGTGCGGGTGCGTGACTCCTGCACTTCAAAGAGAGGTCTCGCTGCTTTGAATCCACATGGTCTGTTTGGTCGTTCTGGCAGTTTGGTTTGAAACAGTAAACCTACAAGAGTTCGCAACTTTCCAACACCTGCCAAACCCCCGTAAGGCAGTCTTAAAGTCAACACCAACAACAGCGTTTTAGCCACTAAACGTAAACAAGCCCAGCCCTGGCCTTGTCTATGCTCTGGTCTTCAGTGGGCGATCAGTGTCCAGAATAGACGGCGTGTTAATGAAAGGATTACAGCTAGCATGCTATAAATGTCAGATAGCTGGGTTATTGGCGGCACAAGTGTTGGCCTGGAGTGACAGAAATAGGTGGGACGGTCACTCTGGGCGCCCCCTTCTGACATGGCCTTGATTAACAGCATGCTTTTAAGGTATGCTACCATGGCAACGTCTGATTTACACACGTACACAATCCCAAACAGACAACTGGATATGAGCATGAATATATGATTGAAAGGTCAAAGAACCAGACACGTCATGGGCAACCAATCAAGATTTATCTTTAAGAATATGTGTCCACTGTCAGTTTACTTCTGTTTTATGCTAAAGTCAGAGATTTTATACTTATCTCTTTATTTTCCTAAAGCCAGATATGTTATACTTAATCTTTACTATGCTAAGGTTATTCCTATTACTCATTCCTATTGTTCTGTTACTGGTAATGTAACACTGACATTTTCCAAACAATTCTTCAAAGTACATGTATTGGGGGTTTTACCATATACCATTTACCCGTCTCTACATTTTCCCATCTGTCTAAAATACTTAAAAAGAAAGTCAAGAAGTTGAATCCTGCTTTAATTTAATGAAGTGTGCAGCCTGGACGTCTTAATGTGAAGGTATTCTATTTATAGTGGTGTGTTTAATGCCTCTCATCAGTGCACTCTTGGCCACTCATTGAGACAAGCAGTGACAGGATGGTCACTCTACACCACGGATCGTCTGTCAGGATGTCGCAGGAATGAGAGACGTCACCCCCGGATGCTGCAGGTTTGGGGATGAAGACTGCGCCTTCAGCAAGTTCAAAACTGCAAAGTGTGTCTGTGTGTCTGTGTTTGTGTATCGTTGTGAGTGTGTGTGTATCTGTGGGTCTGTGTGTCTGTGTGTGTGTGTGTGTTTGTCTGTGTATGTGTGTGTGTATACGTGTGTGTATCTGTGTGTCTGTGGGTCTGTGTGTCTGTGTATCTGTATATCTGTGTGTGTGTCTGTGTATATTTGTGTGTGTGTGTGTCTGTGTATCTATATATCTGTGTGTGTGTGTGTCTGTGTAAATTTGCGTGTGTGTGTGTGTGTGTCAGTGTATCTGTATATGTGTGTGTGTGTCTGTGTATATTTGTGTGTGTGTGTGGGTGTCTGTGTATCTGTATATCTGTGTGTGTCTGTGTATATTTGTGTGTGGTTGTTTTTGTCTGTGTATCTGTGTGCGTGTGTTTCTGTGTATCTCTGTGTGTGTGTCTGTGCACCTGTGTGTATTTGTATGAGTGTGTCTGTGTCTGTGTACAGTATCTGTATCTCTCTGTGTGTGTGCCCGTGTTACTGTGTGTGTGTGTGTTTGTCTGTGTATGTGTGTGTGTATACGTGTGTGTATCTGTGTGTCTGTGGGTCTGTGTGTCTGTGTATCTGTATATCTGTGTGTGTGTCTGTGTATATTTGTGTGTGTGTGTGTCTGTGTATCTATATATCTGTGTGTGTGTGTGTCTGTGTAAATTTGCGTGTGTGTGTGTGTGTGTCAGTGTATCTGTATATGTGTGTGTGTGTCTGTGTATATTTGTGTGTGTGTGTGGGTGTCTGTGTATCTGTATATCTGTGTGTGTCTGTGTATATTTGTGTGTGGTTGTTTTTGTCTGTGTATCTGTGTGCGTGTGTTTCTGTGTATCTCTGTGTGTGTGTCTGTGCACCTGTGTGTATTTGTATGAGTGTGTCTGTGTCTGTGTACAGTATCTGTATCTCTCTGTGTGTGTGCCCGTGTTACTGTGTGTGTGTGTGTGTATGAACCAACTCAGACTCTGAGGAGCACAGGGACTGGCCTCTTACTGGTGCCCAGAGTCAGAACTAAACATAAGCAGGCAGCATTTCAGATTTATGCCGCTAAAATCTGAAATAATCTTCCTGAAAATTTGAGACAGACTTTTTTTCTGACAATTTTCAAATCTAGGTTAAAAACACTTGTGAGCTGTGCACACAACTGAGGGATTGTATCTTCACTCTTTTTAATGTACTGAGATTATTTATGATTTTAATGCCTTGTGTGATTGCTTTTATCTTGTTTTGTTACGCACTTTGAGTTGCCTTGTGTTTTAACTGTGGTGTACAAATAAGCTCGCCTTGTCTGTGCATCTGTGAGTGTGTCTGTCTGTGTGTGTGTGTGTGTGTGTGTGTGTGTGCACTTGTTTTCAACTCCTGGTGGGTTCCATAACC